TGTAAGCATTAAGGAAAGACCTCTCCCAGGAGATAATTCCAGAGCATCCATCTTTTCATCAAATGCTTACAATTTTATCTTGGAAAGCAACGTACTCGGGGAATATTCTGCTTCCGGCTGTCCACATCGTGCTTCACCCAGCTCAAGACGGCTCGGTAAACTTCCTCTTCCGAAGGCACGTTGAGGCTGTCGCTGGAGATGAGATCTAACACCTGCCCACAGGAGGAAAAGAAAAGGAAGACCGTATTTTTCGGACGATAAGACGCACCGGAGTATAAGACGCACCAAGATTTCGAAGAGGAAAACAAGGAGGAAAAAAAAAAGATTTTGGCCTCCGTGCCAGGGGTGGTATTCACTAACCTTTGCTACCAGTTCGCACAGGGCCTTCCACGCATGCACAGAGCATCAAAAACGTGGATAAATGGGACGCGATTACATCTGGGTGGGTGGGCGGAGCCACCCACATCTGCCGCTACCGGTTGACCCGAACCGGATAGAACTGGCTGAATATCACCACTGCTTCGCGCATCCAGTTTTTGCCTTCCCCAGCCTCCAGGAGCACTCTGCAGGCCTCCCAAACCCTCTGCGCGTCCCGTTTTTGCGAAAAGTGGGCCTGTTTTTGGCAAAAATGAGACGCAAAGGGTGGGTTTTGGGAGGCCAATAATGGTTGTATTCGGTGTATAAGATGCACCAACATTTCCACCCTCTTTTGGCGGGGAGAAGTGTGTCTTATACTCTGAAAAGGACGGTATTTGGAAGTTTGGGTCTGAGAGGGTGGAATTAACTTGGATAAAGACAATTCCGAGCAATGGATCCAAGGGGATAGAATTGACTTGAACAAAGACAATTCACAACAACTGGTCAGCCTGGATCCAAGAGGATGGAATTGGCTTGGACCAAGACAATTCTGAGTAGTGGGTCTCCCTGGATCCAAGAAAATGGTGTTGACCTCAACAAGGACAATTTGAGCAATAAGTCTCCCTGGAATTGACTTGAACAAAGACAATTCTGAACAATTAGGTCAACCTGGAACCGAGAGAATAGAATTAACTTGGATAAAGACAATTATGAGCAATGGGTCAGCCTGGATCCAAGAGGATGCAATTGACTTGAACAAAGAAAATTCTGAACAATTAGATCAACCTGGAACTGAGAAGGAGAGAATTGGCTTGGATAAAGAAAATTCCGAGCAATGGTTCAACCTGGAACCGAGAGGAGATAATTGGCTTGGACCAGGACAGTTCTAAGTAGTGGGTTTCCCTGGATCCAAGAAGGTGGCGTTGACCTCAATGAGGACAGTTCTGAACAACGAATCTCTCTGGGTCCAGGGATGGAATTGACTTGAACAAAGACAATTCTGAACAATTAGGTCAACCTGTAACCGAGAGAATAGAATTAACTTGGATAAAGACAATTATGAGCAATAGGTCAGCCTGGATCCAAGAGGATGGAATTGGCTTGAACAAAGAAAATTCTGAACAATTAGATCAACCTGGAACTGAGAGGAGAGAATTGGCTTGGATAAAGAAAATTCCGAGCAATGGTTCAACCTGGAACCGAGAGGAGATAATTGGCTTGGACCAAGACAGTTCTGAGTAGTGGGTTTCCCTGGATCCAAGAAGGTGGCGTTGACCTCAATGAGGACAGTTCTGAACAACGATCTCTCTGGGTCCAAGGATGGAATTGACTTGAACAAAGACAATTCTGGACAATTAGGTCAACCAGGATCCAAGAGGACGGAACTGACTTGAACAAAGACAATTCACAACAGCTGGTCAACCTGGATCGAAGAAGATGGAGTTGACCTCAACAATACTGAGCAAGGAGTCTCCCCGAATCCAAGAATGGAATTGACTCGAACAAAGACAATTCCGAGCAATGGATCAGAGAGGATGGAATTGGCTTGGATAGAGATAATTCCGAGCAATGGCTTTCTCTCTCTCAACCTGCCATGCTAAGAAGGAATTCCTCTCCTTCAGACTGGGAATTTTTTTTCTCGGAGGGACTTCAGGACTCCCGACCTTCGGTATCCTTTTACCTCCACCTGGACACCTCCCCTCCCCCAATCTCACCTGTTTGAGAGGCAGCAACATAAATTCCTCCGTCTTGGAGACATCCACAAAGTGCTGCAAGACGTACTTATGCGCCGATTTCAAGAGATCGCTGCAGGAGTGGGTGTCTGCAAAACCTCGGATGCCCAGACAGTTGGAAGGATCCAATTGGCTCAAGAGAAACTTGCAGCAGGCATCTCGCACCCCGTTCAGCTGCAGGAGGCTGGCTGCAGGAAGCAACGTCTGAAGAAGAAGAAAAAGAAAGAAAGAAAGAAAGAGAGACTCTTGGCTGCATTCTTGTGGCCAGGAGTTCCACAGACAATCCACAATGTAGATCTCACACTGGGCAAGGATCAAAACTATGGGGGCTGATTAGGCGGTTGCAATATGTCTTCCGTTTCTTCCTTTTTTCCCATCTTGTCTTTGTAGCTTTAAAACATTTAAAACATTCTGGCTGTTTCCTTTGAATAACATTGCATGGTGCCATCCTTATGTATATGTGTGTGTGTGTGTGTGTGTGTGTGTGTGTGTGTGTGTGTGTATATATATATATATATATATATATAGGCACACATACACATACATACATATATATCTATATCTATATCTATATCTATATCTATATCTATATCTATATCTATATCTATATCTATATCTATATCTATATCTATATCTATATCTATGTAAAAAATTAAAATCTCGGGTGTTTTCCCGCGTCATTGTAAATAAGTAGGTTAAAATATTTAAAATCCTGGTTAAAATCCCATCTTAAAATCTTCTAAAAATCCTTACAGAGCACAGAGTACAGATTTTAAGCTGGGATTTTAACCAGGATTTTAAATATTTTAACCTACTTATTTACAATGCACACCCGCGAAAACTTAAGAAGACATATATATACCGTGTTTCCCTGAAAATAAGACTGGGTCTTATATTAATTCTTGCTCTATCAGGACTTATTTAATTAGGTCTTATTTTCTGGTTAGGTCTTATTTTGGGGGAAATACGGTACTAAATGCATCCATCTGGCTGACAATCTTAACGGGCTTATTTTGGGGGTAAGGGCTTATATTATAAGCATCCTGAAAAATCACACTAGGGCTTATTTTCTGGTTGGGTCTTTTTTTCGGGGAAACAGGGTGTGTATATACACACACACACACACACACATATATATTCAAAAAGCTGCATCTTCTGTCTAAACTCAGTGGTAAAACCTCTAATTTTTAAAGATACCTGTGATAAAGAGCAGAGAAGCTCGGAACCGATTTGCACCGGAATCCAAGGCCAGGCACCCTGAGAAAGAATGAGGAATACCGCCCCCCGAAACACCTCAGCGTTCTCAAAACACTTCGGTGAGTTCCAATTGGCTGAAGCCGGTCATGGGAGGAGGGCTGGGATGAGGGGGAAACTTTTCTGTATCTTTTGAGCCTGACTTTACTACAGCCAACCCCTTTTTTAGTAAAAGAACCTTTCAGTTCAACCAAATGGGAGTCGAGGGTCTTTCTTTCCTAAGGGATCCGACTGGAGCAGGCCTGACAGTGCTCTTCCCTCAAAAGCGTTGTTGGCCCACTTTGAATCCTCGCTGGATGGATCCGCCCTTACCTGGACGTTCCCTTCTCCCACCACGATCTCAGCAGTGTAGGCGTACTGGACCAGCTGTTCCAGAGCCTGCGGATCGATATCGTGGAGCGTGACGTGCGTTTGACGGCTCTCACTCATCTCATCTGCGCCAATAGATTAAAAAACAATGGTCGGGTATGGAATTGGGTTTGGCAAGCCTAGACCAAAGAAGGTCTAGAGGTGACACGACGGTGGTATCCTAGTATTTGAAGGGCTGCCCCAGAGAAGAGGCATTCAACCTATTTTCCAAAGCAGCCGTAGGCAGGACAAGAAGCAATGGATGGAAACTAATCAAGGAGAGAAGCAACCTGGAATTAAAAATAAACTTATAGGGGTGGCATCAACAAGTTTAGGAAAGCCCCCCCCAAAAGTAGAAACTATCTTGAAAGTAGATCTCGAATCCCGTTCATCTTCCTTGGCCAACATCTGATCGACTTAGCCCCCAGCCTTACTCTCGAGGAGACCTCCTCCTGAGAAGCCACTCCTGCCTTTTAACAGCTCTGCGCGCCCGTGCATCGAGAAGAGGCTCCTCCTCTTCGTCCTCTTCACTTATGGGAGCTTCTGGAGGTTCTGAAGGCCCTGGCTGAATCCCTGCCTCTGGTACCACATCTTCTCCAGCCTCCTCACTGTCTGACTCGAGTGCCAGCTGCACAGACTGCTGACGCAGCACCATACCAGCCTCCTCGCTGTCGGAATCAGCTACTAGCTGCACAGGCCGCTGACGGGCCACAACAGATGGGCTATTCATCTGATCAATTAAATAAATGCAAGTTTAGTTGCAGGTCGAGGGCTGTCCCCACCCAAACGGGTTTGCAGCTGAATTTCGGTTAGGTGTAGGCCGGAATTTGACCATGAACCCTTCCCATCCTTCCCCCCCCCCGATACTTGCTTGTGAACATGGCGTGGAAGTAGGGGCTGCAGGAGGCCAGCACCACCTTGTGCGCCTTGATTTCCTTGGCGGCCACGTGCAACACGATGTCGCAGAGGAGGCCCCGTTGCCGCATGCGGTTCATGCAGACGAAGGCGTCGTGGTAGTGCCGCTTGGAGTTGTGGGAGATGCTGTGGCCGTCCCGGTTGAGCAGCTGCATCCCGTTCTCCATGGCGGCAGCCGGCTCGCTCCTGGCTCGCGGCAACGCCCTTTCGGCCTCTCTGCAGAAAATTAGATTCAAGTGATAGTCCTCAACTCATGACCAGCAACGCAATGGTTAAACGGACACGCCGGTCTTTCAGTGGGGCATGGAGTGTTTTAGGGGTGTGGGGAGGCCCTTGGAGGGCTAGTGCAGACACAGGCCCACCTGTCCTGGCCTCCCAAGGCCTCCCGCATCCCCAAGACACCCGGCATTCTTCTCCCTGCACTTCAGGATTCCCCCACCCCCAAATCAGTGGTGAAATCCCAAATTTTTTTTTTTTTTACTACTGGTTCTGTGGGCATGGCTTGGTGGCCGTGGCAGGGGAAGGATACTACAAAATCCCCATTCCAGAGGAAGGATACTGCGAAATCTCCATTACCACTCCGCTCCAGAGGAAGTATACTGTAAAATCTCCATTCCCAATTGGGCAGTTCAAATCTCACCTCAGGCTCAAGGTTGACTCAGCCTTCTGTCCGTCCGAGGTGGGTCAAATGAGGACCCAGATCATTGGGGGGCAAGAGGCTGACTCTGTAAACTGCTTAGAGAGCAGCACTGTGAAGCGGTATATAAATCTAAGGGCTATTCCTTCCTTCCTTCCTTCCTTCCTTCCTTCCTTCCTTCCTTCCTTCCCTTCCTCCCTCCCTCCCTCCCAGTGGTTAGAATGCAGTATTGCAGGCTAACTGCCCACTGCCAGGAGTTCGATCCTGACCGATTGGCTCAAGGTTGACTCAGGCTTCCATCCTTCCGAGGTGGGTCAAATGAGGACCCAGATCATTGTGGGGGAAGGAGGCTGACTCTGTAAACCACTTAGAGAGCACTGTGAAGCGGTATATAAGTCTAAGTGCTATTGCTATATTGCTATTGCGATTATTCTACGCTCTACCTGTATACAGATGTATTCAAGTGAAAAAAAAAATACAAGGTGTGCATGAAGCAAGATGCCCCAAATTACGACAAAACAGCCAGCAGGTTTGCTGTAGACCCCTCCCTGCATGCTTGCATCGAGACCCTTCCCAATTCCCTATGCCCCATTGACTGCAAGGGGCGCTAGGTAGCTAAAAATAACCCCGAAAGGAATCTCTTTTTGCTTATTCTGGCAAAAAAACCAACAACCCAAATTTGCTCAAGAGCAGGTCTTTGCGTCATAGTGGGGAGGGCGGAAGAATAATCACCCCCCCATTCCCCCAACTACCCACCCATGCCCTGTCTCCCTTCCCTGCCTCTGATTGACAGATGGATGCCAGGCAATGCAAGGTTTAAGCCTCTCGGCAGAGAAAACACCCAAAATAGCAGAGGTGGGCGCTTCCTGCGGAGAGGGGGGTTTTTGATGGAGTGGGGACTCCCATCTGGAAGGAGGGAGGGGGAAAAAAGAGCGCCTGATGGAACGGAAACAACTCCCGAGAGCCACCCACACAACTGTCAATGAATCGTGCCAACGTGTCTGCGGCCTTCAGGATTGCGGGGGAGGCCGAACACACAGCCGGCTGGGTAATGAATGGTTGAGAAGGACTGGGAGAAACCTCGTGGTATCAGGATTCCTGGGGGGGGAAGGGGGGAGGCTAGACTGCTGCCCTCCCTCGCCTCCTCCTCGCAGCTGTTTTGAGTGCAAGGAGCACCATAATTGGGTCTCCCATGGCCTGGTGCGATCCGCACGAACTCTTAAATTAGGCGAACGATCGCGGGCCAGCCTTTGTTAAGTGTCGTTCTCGTTGTCCTTCATTCTAGGAAGAAGGCCCCGAAGGTTTCAGTGATCATCTGGGCTCCTGATTGGACCTCAAGGCCAGTGAGAATCATCCGGAAAAAGGTAACAACGCAGGTTAAAACGGGGAACAGAAGAATCCATTCAGGGTTTCAGCAGAGCAACCTCTCTGTCTCTGGGCGCTCTCCAAGGTGCTGAACTCATTTCTTTACCATAACAGGTATCCCTCAGCTTATAACCACTCGTTTAGCGACTGCTCCGAATTACAAAAGCACTGAAAAAAAGGGACTTACACTGGTCCTCACCCTTACAACCACTGGTCGTGTGACTGAATCGCTCGCGGCTGGCCGTTTCGGGGCTGGCAGTTCCAGTGTTTGGTAACTGACATATATTTATGATGGTTGCACCGTTCCAGGATTGTATGATTATCATTTCTGACCTTCCCAGCCAGAATCAACAGGGGAAGCCAGATTCGTTTAATGACCGCATGGTTCATTTAACGACTGCAGTTTGCTTAAGAAGCGTGGCCCCCCCAAAAAAGGTGCTAAAATCAAGTGTGACTCACTTAACATACACCTTGTTTAGCAACCCAGGCCCAAATTCTGTTCGTTAAGTCAAGGACTACCTATTCTTAAATACCCCCGTCTCCTCTGCATATAACATCCAGGTCCCCTTTCCTCTCCTTGGAAGTACGGCAAAAGAGAGAAAAGAGTGGAAAACTTAAAATGATATCAAAATTCAGAAAGCAACTGCCATTGAGGAGAATTATATTCTCCAATATTTTCAGCAGGTGCTCAAACTGCCTCTTAGCACAAGGGTCCCCGAGACCCTCAAGGTGGACAATTAAATCACTTTGCAAAATTTAAGAATTTTAAGACAATTACGATTATTCCACCAAAGGGGCAACTCACAGTTGGTTCTTGTAATGCTTTGCTCAAATCTGCAGCCACCAGTTGAGGGGGCATGAATTCTGCACGTGCTTAGAGGCCCACTGGTAACACAGATAGTCCTTGACTTATAAGAGTTTGCTTAGTGACCGTTCAAAGCATGGGTGAAATCTACTTACCTTCCCCACCAGTTCGGAAGTGAATGCGCAGAGGGTAAAAAAAGAGTTTATTTCCTGGTTAAAACCAGGAAGTAATGACGACCGGGTGGGTAGGCGGAGCCTCGTGTTGCCATCGCTACCGGTTCTCCGAACCATCCGCCGAACCGGTCTGAACCGATAGCATTTCTCCCCGGTTCAAAGTTACAACAGCACTGGAAAATGTGACTTATGGGTGTTTCTCATAGTTGCGACCTTTGCAAGCATCCCCAGAATCACGTGATCCAAAATTCGGACGCTCGGCAACTGGCTCATGTTTATGACTTTGGCTGTGTTCTGGGGGGATCACATGATCCCTTTTGCAACTTTCTGATTAGCGAAGTCCACGGGGAGGCCAGATTTGCTGAACAACCAGGTTACTGACTTAGCAACTGCATTGATTCACTTAACGACGGTGGTGAGAAAAGTCGCAAAAACGGGGCGCAACTCGCTTCACCAACGTCTCACTTCACAGCAGACGTAATTGGGGGTGGGGAGGATCAATGGTGGTCGTAAGTCGAGGACTACCTGCAGTCGTCTTTTCTAGCCTCACATTTCACCTTAGACACGTTTTGCCCCGATCTTTCCATTTGCATCTCTGCCTGCTGCGTGTACATGGGCTTCATGTAATTTAACAACTGCTTCGCCCCGCATCAAAAGATGTGGCTTGCATGCATGCACGTGGCTTAGAAAACGTAGCTAAATAGGACGGCGTAGCACCAGGGTGAGTGAGTGGCACTGCAGGTCCCTACTTCCGGTTGGCTCGAACCGGCTGAATCCCATCACTGGCCAGCCGGGAAAAAAGCTCCCATCTCATTTTTGAAGGGAGCAGCTCCTCCTCCTCCTCCCCTCCCTCCTTTCCTTTGTAGCCCTCCAGCTCCCCTAAAAATAGCCCCGGTTGTGAATAAGAACATGACGCAAAGGCCAAGATTAATCTGCTTGCTAATACAGGTAGCTTCCGAAAACAGCTGAAAAAGTTCCAACTGACATTTCAAAGGGCTGCGAAGCCAGCCTCGACATCCACGTGGGCCAGAGATTGTGGCATATTGGCAAAGCACAACGCAGCAATTGCGTGTCTGACCTGGCAGGGGGTGCTCAGAGCTCGAATTTAACCAGGGGCACCTTCCCCAATATTCTTCATTATACCCCCCAAAAATTATTGACGTGCATGTGTGTTTTTGGCCCTCACGGCAAACTGTTTCTATTGTAAAGCAGAAACTGATGGGATTCAGCCGGTTTGGCTGAATCGGTAGAAGCAATCTGTCCAGGCGCAATTCCATCATATATAGCTGTGTTTTTGACACACATGTGCTTAACATCGCATGCATTTGTGGACGGCACACATAAGCAAATTGCCGTGTTTTGTGATGCCGCACACACACATTTCTGGTGCTGGGCGAACCGGTTGTTACAGTATATGAAGCCGACCTCTCGTTGGACTGGATAGATTCTGCTTGAAGTCATAAACATGAAGCAAACTTTGCACAAAAATAAACTGAGGACATTCCAAGCAAAGAAGGATTGATGAATAAATGCTGGAATGTAGGTAGTTCTCAAGTTACAACAGTTCATTCAGTGTGAGCTGTGCTCAAAGTTACGACGACGCTGAAAAAAGTGACTTATGACCATTTTTTTCACACTTACGACCGTTGCAGCATCCTCATAGTCACCGGATCAAAATTCAGACACTCGGCAAAAGGTTCACACTTATGACGGTTGCAACTATTCTGGGGTCGACCTTCTGGCCAGCGAAGTCAGTGAGGAAGCCAGATTCACTTAACAACCGCGTGACTCACTTAATAACTGTGGCGAGAAAGATTGTAATATGGGGCAAAACAGATGCTTCACTTAGCAACATAAACGTGGGGCTCATTTATGGTCGTAACTCAAGGACTACCTGTATCGGTCAATCGATATCCCTTCTGAATGTAATTGGCTACATTCAGCCCTGGACATTTTCCAGCAGTCTCTTATTTTATTGGGTTTCTTTCTTTCGCTTGAAGATGACCATCGATTCAGTCAAATGCTTTCGAGATAATGAAAGGAGGGGGGGTGGGCTAGATGACCTCCAAGATGGTCCCTAAGTTCTAAAATTCTGAACGGAGCATCTGCTCAAACTCGCTGCATTGCTGAAGTTTATAATTTAGATTATTGGGAATCTGCCAGCAGAAACGTTCCAGAATTGTGACATTATAGTGCACCAGTTATGCTAGCAAAAACTGGGGGGGGAGGGGGGGCGGGCGGGGGAAAAGACTACAAAATCAATCTAACGTCTAGCTTAGAAGACCCCATAAATCGTCCCCAGTTGTCCAGATCTCTAGGTTCAGAACCAAGGTGGATTTCCAGAGCTTAAGCATTCAGCTTAAGATCTTTGTCCTGGGCATAACTGATTGATCGCTACTTGAAATATTTAATA